AATTTGATGCTATTTTTTATTGTATTATTAAACGGTGTTTTATATTTGATATTTTTAACTCTATATGTGTTCTTTCACGAAAGAGAAGTGTTACTGAATTCAAAACAATTGCTATTATTAAACCCCTTAATTGGTGTACTCGCTTTTATTTCGGAAATGAAATGTCTCGTGGCTATACTTTTTATTTTTCTAGTAAAGCCTCTTATTTTTTACGCTTTAAGAGATTTTGAAAGTTATCCCTCAAAAATTATGCGCACAATCAACTTAAACAATTTTCTTTCTTTATAGGTTCTTTATATTCTTTATATATATATATATATATATATATATATATATATATATATATATATATATATATATATATATATATATATATATATATATATATATATATATATATATATATATATATATATATATATAATTAATGAAATGGGATTTTAAATCAAAATTATAACATAAATTTATCTATTATTGCATGCAAGACAAAGTCTTGCTTGTTATAACTTATAAGATATTATAACTTGCAATGAAAAATAAAAAATATAGCCACAAGACATTTTATTTCCTTAATAAAAATAAGTTCTTCAGTTAAGGTGCTTAATTAAAGCAGTTGTTCCGAATTCGGAAACTCTTACCTTCCGTAAAAGAATATATAAGAAAGTAGTTCAAAGATTCCTTAATAGGAACTATAAACTTAATCTTACTTAACTTGTGATAAAGTTAAAGATTTGAGAAAATAATTTAGGTCTAATTTAAAAAAAAGATAGTTAGAATCATAAATCTCAAAAACTTTTTTTAGTAACTTTTAAATAAAGGAACATCATAATATTTGAAGCTTTTGTTCAATTTAGTATTTGTAGACTTTTATTTTACCCAGACAATTTTAATCCTATTATATACTTTGAATGGATTGTGCAAATTGTCAATGTCAAGATAAAAAATTTAAAATGATTCTTGCTGATTTTACTGGTTTTTTTTTTAAGAATTGATCTGTTCTGAATAAGAAATGTAAGTGTTACAATTTAGGATACCATTTGCCTTTGAGCGAGACAAACGATATCCTACTTAGATATCTTCAAGAATTCGAAATAAAATCTTTGTTTGTTTTTTTGCGAAAAAAAAATTATTTCCGAAAACAGTTAATTTAAATTCGGGGTAAAAATATTGCGGGCTTGTCTGTTTGTAATAACCAAACTATAAAAAAATACGCTTGAAATACAGATGAAAAAATAATTTTTTCTTTGGTGTTTCAATATCGGCAACTCTCTCATATTTAATAAATTTTATTTTTTGAAACATTTAGTTATGTTAATATTGCATTGTCAAACATTTTTAAGTGACAATATCTTACAATTCTCATCGAATTTCCGCGTTCTCGTAAGTTACGTACAACGGCATGATACCAAAAAATATTTTTATAAGAACAAAAAAAACTGACAGTGTTTCTAAGGAAGAACCTGCCGTTTCTTTTTTCTCAGTTTTAATATTAGACGCACATCCCAGTGGACACGGCAACGTCCACATGACGTCGTAAAAGACGTCTTTTTAGGACGTCCAGAACAAGTTCTAATTGGCAACGCCAGATGACGTCTTTTTAGGACGTAATTAGGACGTCTTTTTAGGACAGAATAAAGACGTTTTTTTCAGACAGAATAAAGACGTGTTTTTCAGACGTCTAAAAGAATTTTGTGTTAAATGGAAAAGCCAAATGACGTTTTTAAATAACCTAATTTAGCCGTCCTCATTTCGATGTCTATAATACGTGTCTTTACATGGCTTTACTCAAACGTAAGGTGAAAATTTATGTTTTCACTTAACTTTTTGAGAATAAGTAAAAAACAAAAATTTGCGTAAACTTTTTTAATAATATAATTGTGCTAAGTTTTATAAATTATAATTTTTGTAAACTTCTTCACATACTTACTAATTTCCAAGAATCGACTGTTTGAACACTTGACGTCATTCACTTTATTTTAGATCAGGTGTGGGCTTGAGATTATTGCCAACATCATTTTAAAATTCTTTTTTGCTGTAGGAGTCGGGTAAAGTTTTTTTTTGCTGTAGTCTTAAATCTAAAAAAAAATTGTAAAAATAAAGGAAAAAGGAATAAACAGAACATTTATAATACACTTTATGACGTAATATATATATATATATATATATATATATATATATATATATATATATATATATATATATATATATATATACATATATATGTATACATATATATGTATATATATATATATATATATATATATATATATATATATATATATATATATATATATATATATATATATATATATATATATATATATATATATATATATATATATATATATATATATATATATATATATATGCACACATATATATAATTAATACACACTCAAACACGTATCACCAACATTTAATAACTTCTATTTCTAAATTCAAAAGATAACACTAGTATAAGTGATAAGGGGCAATTTAGTGTGCATATATATATATATATATATATATATATATATATATATATATATATATATATATATATATATATATATATATATATATATATATATATATATATATATATATATATATATATATACATTGTTCTATAATCAAGTAATTATTCTTTAATTAAGTAAGTAATTAAATGAGCCTATATATTAGTTGATTAAAAAGTAAAAATTAAAAATGTGCTATTATTTATCACTTAACAAAATATTTTTTTTTTATAATTGCTCTGTTTTTTTAAGAACATTGAGCACTCTATTTTGTAGAATACATTTTAAAATTAAATCTTAAAATTTTAACAACCTCGTCCTTCGAAAGCGAAATCTTCGATGCTCTTTTTTTTTGCTGAACTGACTAGTTAGTTATTTTGAGTTTTGTGGATTATTAAACAATAAAGTTTATAAAAAAAAAAAACGACCTATATAATTAAAACAACTTCCAAGGTAATTATTACAAGAAAAAATATTACTTACATTAATCTTTGTAAAACTATAAAGATTTGTCATTGACTTTATCAAAGCATAATTTTGAATCACAGACTATTCAATTTGAAGGAAGTAAATGAATTAAAGAAGTTGTTACATATAAAAATTCATTAAGCCTATTACATAAAATAAACTATTTATACTATACCATATTTATATATACTATATATACTATACTTGACATCTCCCTTGAAATATTATATAAAAATTAATTCAAAAAATCAAGAGTTACATACATAATAGAAGTTTTTATGACTGATACATATATATTATAAATGTTTATAAATAAATTTTTAATTAATAAGTAAAACAAAAATTTATAGAAAAGTATATCAGGAGAGCAGTCAAATTTTAACTTTTTTAAAGATTATTAAAGACTTTTAAGGATGTTTTTTTTCACCAAGAGTATTAAGGGTTTTTAAGGAGGACTGGGAACCCTGAATATATATGACAATAATCAAATGACTATTTATTGAAACTTTATCAGCAAACATTTTTGTAGTGGATTTGAGGGGACCTATAAAAGCATTCTGAGCAGTTAAATGGAGTTTAACTCATTGCTTACATAGTAAATTACTTAAGTGGCCAGCCGATAACATTCCAACAAGTGGTATAGTGGTTATTCGTATTATCCACTTTTGGCTGCTGCCACTAATGGTCCATTAAGTATATGACGACCAAAACTGCAACCACTTACAATGCTTATATAGGTCCACTGAACTTCCTATTTAATTGTTTGCTGTGTTATATATACTTTTTACTAAATGTTAAAACTAAAAACCATAAATTATCAAAAATTCATTCATATAGAAAAAAATATCAACTCTTTTCAATCTTTAAATTTTTTCTCATTCTAATTTGAAGTTGGATAAGTTACTAAAAAATAAATTTTATCAAATAATAAAAATAAATATTGATTTTAACTATAATTATTTATTTGGAGTTTTTAAAGAACGAAAAATAAAATAGCAAAATTAATTACATATATATTCAAAGGATTATTTAAAGCAGATTTTGAAATGTCTTATACAACTAATACGATAATGCTTTTGTGTGATTTTTTTTTAAAAGATTCAATTGAATTTAATTTAAAAAACTAAACCAGTCGTAACAGTTGATTTAAGAGATAGGTGTGTAAAAAATTTCCTTATTAAACATATTCCTTCATAATTTCATAAACGGAACACTTTTCACAAAAGTTGTAACCATTATAAGATTTTATATATTTTTATTTATATTTTTTATTGTATAGAAAACCATTTTGTATTATTGACTTGACTCAAAGAAAAAAATAAGTATTTAGTTTGTGAATTAGGTTTGGTTTCACTACAATATATGCCATCTATAAAAATATTAAAATAATTAAAGCAAATTATTACCACACTTTTCAGGAACAGTTAATATCTGTTTATCTCGAAGATGCAGAGAAAGTTTTAAAAACACCTCAGGTATAACTTAGTTATACCTCTTGGTGTTTTCAAAAATTTTTCTTACATCTTTGTGAAGTTCCAAAACTTGATTTTGTAATATTACAAGAAGTTCATTAACTAATGCACTGATCGGATTATTTTGAATAACACAATCTAAAAGTTTCTACATTCTAAATGTCTGCTAAACGTTTCTTAAACATATTTTAAACGTTCTTTATGTAAAAATGTTTAAAAGACGTTTAAAAGACATTTAAAATACATTCAGAACGTAACTTTTAAAAACAAATGCCCGCTGGGTAATTGAACGTCCAAAGGACGTCTTTTTTACGTCCCGTGCCCACTGGGATGTAATCAAATCACATGTAATCAAATGAATTTATTTTTAACATTTGAACACATCTTTAACAGTCATTAATTATGAATTTAATTTGTACAAAGATTTTTAAAATTAATCCACTTAAAGTTAAATGGATGAGCAAACAAAATCTGTTTAATTTTTCCTTTTATAGTTTTACCATAAATAAAAAAATGTTTATTTACAAACCGTTTTTTAATTGGTATATAATGTTTTTTAGTTGCTGCAAATTAGTGCAATGCTTATTTTTTCATGTAATGGCATTCACGGAGTATATGGTACGATTATAAATATTTTTTTTTCTTGATTTTCAATATTATTTAGATGCATTGATTTGAGTTCTTTATTTAGTAGTTATTTATTAATACAATTATAATAAACATATATATATATATATATACATATATATATATATATATATATATATATATATATATATATATATATATATATATATATATATATATATATATATATATATATATATATATATATATATATATATATATATATATATAAATATATATATATGCGCTTGTTCTGAAACTTACATCTACAGTACAATATCTCTAATTTAAATTTTATGGGGAAAAATAAAAGTTTGAATAAGAGAGATTTTTGAATTATAGAAAGTTGACTTTTTTCAAATATTCTTTTCAAAGTAACGAATATAAATCAAACAAACAAACAAATAGTAATTCTTAAGCCTAAAAGCAATATATATTATGTATTTTAAACTTTTAAATTTGAAAAAAAGTCAGTAATTGTAGGTTGTCTTTTATAAGCTAGTAAATTCATGTCGAAGACACAATGTACATCTTTAAGAGCTGTTGTCAAATTATCTCCAAATTAGTTTGCTTTTTCTTAAATTTGTAAAGCATATTTCTTTCGCAAAATATAAAGCTTTTTATTTTACAACCAAACCACTAATTGGTGCACTGTCAGCTCTCATTCGTTTAAACCATTTAAATTTAGCTTTGTTTATTAGATAATACATATCAACTTTCACCGGTTTCAAATTTCCTTGAAAAAAAGTGTCAAAGATTTTATCTTTATTCTTTTTCCAGGTTGAAAGAGTGTTTGGTGTAATATCAAAAGTTTCGATACCTTCGCATTAAGTTGTTTTTTTTATGCAGTCTCTTTAATGCCATGATTTTTTTTAAACAGTAAGTTTAGAAGATTATTTATACTGGTCGTTTTTCAAAAACTCACAACATTGTTAAGTTGAAAAAATTTCCATTTTCCATTAAAAAATCCATTCGAATTGTGGAGGTTTTCGAATTATAGATTATAGTTATAATACATTTTTATTTTTAATTTTAATTTTATAGATTATAATATACAAGGCCGGCGCAATAGGAGGGTGTGGGAGGGGAGGGGGGAGTGACCCCAACAATGAACCCCCCCCCAATCAATGATTTTTAGTGGGCAAATTGGACCCTTAGTGGGCAAATTGGACCCTTTTAGTCTAGTTAGTCGGCAAATGTCAACCCTTTCGCTATAGGTTAGTCAGTAATCTAGACAGTCGGCAAATGTCGTCATGGCAGTCGGCAAATTTTGGAAAACGAGGACCTTTTTTTTTTTTTTAGTCGGCATAAGTTGTAATGGCATACCCCCGCGTGACATATTGCCAAATGTTTTAGTTAAACCAAATTAGAATGTTTTTTTCAAAGTTTTATTGTTAAAAAAAATTATAAAATAATATTGATAAATTATAAAATAATATTGATAATTTTTTTTTTAGAGTCGTTTGCCTTAAAAGAACCAAGAACTATGAAAGCCAACAGTCTTCTTGCAACACTTAAAACTCTTCCGAGAGAATACGAAATAACATTTGAAGTGAACTTAACTTCATTTGTTTCTTCGTGGACAAATATTTTACATTTCACAATAGGTTCTAATAATAAAGTTTATGGTGATAGAACTCCATCTGTATACATTTATCCAAATTATACTGGAATGATGCAAATTTGCGCCCCAGTTAATGGTATAGGAAACTATGCTGTTCCAACAATTCCTTTAAAATTGTTAAAATGGATAAAAGTTACAATAAAACAGCTACTTTATCGTGGATTTTATAACTATTCAATCGAAATTCCTGATGTGATTTTTCATTCAATACAAAACAATATGCCAAAATTGTTTCAAAATGTGCAGTTGTTTATTAGCGATCCTTGGACTGTTGCACAACCGGGGTATATAAGAAACTTGATAGTAACAAATGCGTGTGCAAGTAAGTGTTTTCTTTTTTTTTTACTTGTCCTCATATTATAGAAACTCCGAAACATGAGGGACAGTGCTCCCTCATGTTATGGAAAAATCATTGTACTCTTATATTACACTTGTTAGCATTACACAGGGGGGCATTTAAAAAATATTTAAATTTAGTAGCAGTTTGATAACTATAATTATTTCTTTTGCTGTTTTTGTACCAATTCCGGTTTTGATATTTTTTCAATTGTTTTGCTATTTTTTTAATTTTTGACAATTCCGTTTCCTCTGGTGTAATAGGCATCTCAAAAAGCATTGCGTACCTCTAACTATTAAGAAATCTTTAGTTTTAAGTGTTGTCTCAATGTCTGTTAATATTTCAGACGGCGCTTCTCGTTCACAAAAAATAGATGAAGGAAAGTTTGAAATATGACAACTTATTCATATAAACTTGACAGTTGTTGCCACAATTTCCTGAAGGTTCGCAACCAAATATACTCAGAAATTTTTCAGTTCCTTTATGTATAACATTTATAGCTAATCATTTCCAATTTTCATTAACATTTAAAATAAATTTCATTCACGGGATAGGCGCTGAATCTATTGAATGACACAGTTTGCAACTTTTTTTTGCCATTTGAACTGCGACCTCTCGTTAATGCATCAGCTAAGTTATCTTCAAATGGGATAACTTTATATCAACTTTAAAATTGATTCTTTAATTAGTTGCTTCTGCACGCCTATTCTTTGCTTTTGACATCAATCTTAATTTACCAGTTAGCGCGTTATAAATCCAGTGGAACATTGCCACAGAAGCTATAAAAATTGTTTTTTTCTTTAGTTTACATACGCATATCATTTTTATTCCTCTAATCACCACGTCCAGCTGTACCATGTTTTTATGAACTTCAGACCTTTTTTTCTTAGCCATGTTACAACTTCCACAGTTGTACTACCAATTTAAATAACAGCACCCATTGCTAAAAAGGTTGCATAACCCTACACCGTCTTCTTCATGCTGAGCACACCCCACACCACAAATTGGCTCGCGACTTTTAACATCCGTACTATCTTCTCAAAGAACAAGTTTTACGTTCATATCACAAACTTCATCGTCCTTACTCTTTGTCAAACTAAAAATTATTTTATTCAAAAGACTATCAACAATTCTTAACCAACCATACACTGTTAAAAAACCCACAAACTATTCACAGACTAAAAGCACTACTCTGCTGCTTAAGTTTTTCGGAATTTCTTTAACTTGATTTTCTCTAGACCATATCATTTTGCCACCATATTTTCGCACATATAATCTCAACACACGGACCTCATTATTGCCTATCTGTTCACCTTCATAGCTTATTAAATCATTTATTTTTTATGTTTATCATTTACGCAAGTAGATTTTCCATTCTTTACGAACGTGTCTTGGTCAATAATGGCGTTCACAACAGATTTCATAATTATTTGCACAAAATTCGATCTAAAACTAATTTGTCTAAAACAGTACATTTTGTTGTGAACAGCCAAAAGTTGGAACAGCCAAAAATATTCCTCAGTTTTCAACTAGCGATTTGTCTTGCGTATTTTCATGATTTCTGGTTTGTTTCCCATTCTTCTTTATTCTTTCAGGTTATTAACGCACACATCTTTGTATCTTGTATATGTCTCAATGAAATTGTTAGTTTCTCGAGCTTTATTTTCTTTGTTTCTTTCAATCAAAACCGTTAAAGGAATTTGTCCTTTGGGCGGTCCAATCAAATTCTCATTATGCTTAAGTAACTGTTTCTACTTGATCCAATCCCGAAATTCATATTCCGCTTTAATTTCTTTTGGTAATCTATAAAAATTACTTCGTGGCATATTAGTAGCGGATCCAATACATGGGTGAGCCTTTCTTTTAATAATCACCACCTTTGAAGAGTTTAATAATTTATTTTGATTATCAGAGTCTTTTAATTTAAAATTCTCTTTAAACCCTCTGCAGTAACATACTAAATGAATTTTTGTAGCATGATGCTAAGATGCAGCGCCAACAACCTTACTGTCATTTTTTCATATTAAAACAGCTTTAAATTTAAGTAACATGATGTTAATTGGGTTTATCACTGCTTGAAGTTTTGATGAAAAAACATTCGTCAAATGCATTGATTTTTCTGTTAGTTTATCAAGATACGTTAATCATTTCAAATCAGCCAAAAATACATCAGTTTTTTCTTTGTCATATAATTTAAGTTTCTTGAAGAAGTTCAAATTCACTGTAAGCATCCTCAAAGAACAATGCCAGCATTTGCATCTTTCTCATCTTCAACTGGTTATGCATTTGCATCTTCCTCATCTTCAACTGGTTATGCATTTGCATCTTCCTCATCTTCAACTGGCCATGTATTTGCATCTTCCTCATCTTCAACTGGTCATGCATTTGCATCTTCCTCATCTTCAACTGTTTATGCATTTGCATTTTCCTCATCTTCAAATGGTTATGCATTTGCATCTTCCTCATCTTCAACTGGTCATGCATTTGCATCTTCTTCATCTTCAACTGGTTATGCATTTGCATCTTCCTCATCTTCAACTGGCAATGCATTTGCATCTTCCTCATCTTCAACAGGTCATGCATTTGGATCTTCCTCATGATGTCATGGGATGACTTCCCATGCGTCATAAACTGAATAAGCAGTTTTTTTAAAATAACTGCTTATTCTGAAAAATTAAAAAAAAAAAAATTCTAAATTTCAGCAATCACTTTTGTTCTTTGCGTCCATCATCATCATCATCATCATCATCATCATCATCATCATCATCATCATCATCATCATCATCATCATCATCATCATAATCATCATCATCATCATCATCATCATCATCATCATCATCATCGTCATCATCATCATCATCATCATCATCTTCATCATTAGCATCATCATCATCATCATTATTATCATTATCATCATCATCATCATTTGAGTTCTATCATACAATTCAAGCATTTCAAATAGTTTTATAATTGATTCCATGCCGCTCACAATTTTTTCGCATAAACACAGCACTAAAGTTAAGAATTTTTTCTTTTCTTAACCTAACGAGAAACTGAGTTTTACAAATTCTGCCGACAATTTATTTTTTATTAATTTGTAAACACCAAAAAAATAAAATTAAAATAAATATTGAAATGCAATAAACATAATTAACCTTACACCCTAAACATTCATCACTTTTGTGTATACAATTGATAATAAAATGACACTTCTAATATTAAATACCTTTTTGAAATAAATAAATCATTTTTACTCAAATAGATTTTCAGAACTATATTCAACCCAAAATCTATAATACGACCACCGAGTTCTCTATTTCTAATTTCTTTATTTCTAATATCTTAGATAACTTTATTCTCTTTTACATGTTTACTTTATTTTTTTATTTTTTTATTTTTTATGTTTATATATATATATATTTATACATACATATTGTTTTTTGTTTTTGTTTTTTTCTCTTTTAAGTTTATTTTTATCTTATTTTATAATACTTTTTATTTATTTACTTATTTTTTTTTTCGTTTAAATTTCTATAGAAATTATTATAAAAGTTAACAGAAATTCAATAGAATTTTATAGAATTTCTATAGGCCGTGTTTCAAAAGTTCATATGTTTCAAAATTTTATACGTTTCAAAAGTTTATAGAAAATTCTATAGAACTTTTTTTTTTCTGGGAAGAAGTTAAGATAAGAAAAAAGAAGAAATCACAAAACACAAAGTAAAATGAGAAGGACTAAAACAAGTTTTCCATAAATCAAGAAAGAAATTCGAAAGCTTTTAGAAAATATCATTTCAGGTTTCAAAACTCAGTCATTTTCCACCAACGGAAGCGTGAACTCAAGTTTACGTGAAAAAACGTTTTACAAAGCAACTAATATCTGTGGCAGTGTTTTTGTAAAACTTGGTTTTAAAGAAATAATATATGTGGCAGTGTTTTTGTAAAACTTGGTTTTAAAGAAAAAACGTTTTTAAAAAACTTCTTGTAAAATTGCCACAGCACAAATTTGATATAAAGTTCCTTTTGAACTTTATATTCTCTATTAACTTTACAATTCACGTATCAGGAAAGTATTTTTAATAAAGTCATATTGAATCAACGAAAACAGTTGACATATTTCTGTAGCCAAATTTATGTATTTACATATCCGGATAGTTAAATACAGGATAGTCGAATACCGAATGTTCTGGGTATATATTTCCTTATCCGAACGGATATGCCAAAAATGTCATATATATTGAATTTTAGAATTAGGCTTGTTTTTTTACATACAATGTCAGCTATAGTAGCAATCGGCGCAATAATTAAAATTTATGACTTGCTTCCTAAAAAATAGATATTAAATATATATATTTTATTTTTTTTCCTCTGCAGTTGAGGAAAACAATATTATTGTAATTACTTTGAAAATTAACTATACAATGTTAATTTCAATATACACTGTATAGATACTTTACCAAAATTACAAATTGTAAAATACAGATAAATATGTTGTATCAAATGTATGTGTTTAATAGTTGTATTTTCAATGTCAGTTGTAAACACGTATAGTTTAATTTTTCAGACAAACTTAATTTATCTGGTATTATATAAAATAAATGATGCAAAAATGTTTTAGTACAACACCTCAGCATAACCACATCAAAATAATTCATCCAAAAGAATATCATATCAGTCAAAAATACCAGTAGTTTTGTTAAAGTTAAAAAGTATAGAAAATAGCTGGAAAATTCAAAATGAAAGGCAACACCTTCTTGTAACAGATGGTGCAAGTAATATGGTAAGTTAGAGTAATCTAGCTGAAATTCCCTCAATCCATTGTATTATTCATTTGCTTCAATTAATGGTTTTAGATTCAATTATGAGTAAAAATATTGTAGTTAACGCTCTGTCAAAATGTAGTCAAGTTTTAACTCATTTCAATCATTCATCCCCAGTATGTAACAACTAGTTAAGCAAATTTTTATTATTATTTATAAAATTTT